GCAACGCGCGGACTGAGGGGGAAGGGCCAAGATGTAGAATTGAGATTGGGCCTTAATCAAAGGCTCTACTATAAGGATATGGTGAAACATATTTGATGTTTTTTGTGCACTTCTTTGTTGAAGCACAATACATTTTGTACAGTACATGTGCAGACTTTGCACAGTCATGGACTTTCTGGAATATCATGGCATTTTAAAAGATCTGTTCTTAAATTGTAATGTTTTATTCTGAAAGACATTTTCTGCAGTATTTTTTACTATTTTTAATAAAATAAAAATATATTTTTAAATGATTTTGTAAAAATTCTTCTGAGGTTTTAATAAAAACTGTTTGAATTGTTCAATTTTGTGTATTTGACTTTTATTGAAGTTGCATTTAACATATATTTAGTAAGAAAACTAATATATTTATGGTATATTGCGTGTGTGTTTAAAATGCACTCATAATTAATTTCTAATGTACTTGTAATACAGAAAAAATACACTTTAATGTCACTAAGCAAGCATGAAATTAGCATACATAGTATGCTTATTTAAAGTGTACTTCATATACTTAAAGTTGTTCCAATTTAGCACACAAAAGTACACTAAATACACTTAAAGTTGTACTTCAGTGCAATTTTATTACAACTAAAATATACTTTGCACAAAATTAATATGTCCAAAATGTCACACTTAAGTAAACTAATCATTAATACACTTAAAATATACTGACAATTAGTCCGGATACAAGTATACTAAGCATTTTTTTTTTTTCACTAGGGAACCCCATGTATGAATCCATTCTCTTCTGCCTTAACGGGAGATTTTGCCTATAGCACTCCTCTGTGCTATAATGGTCTGTGTTGTAATGCATACCAGCACAAAGAATATGTTTGCGTATTACAGCAGCATGATAATACCACAGTGCCGTTAGGATTCTCTTCCCCCATATGTTAACCACATAAGTCATGGGCACACAGGCCACGTACTGCACGGTATCAAAATTCTGAGAGTGATGATGACTATGGACTTTGGGAGTCCCCACTTTGTGTCCTGGTCAATATGATGGTACCACCCCATGGAGGGAGTTTCTCTATTGATTTGAGAGCTGTGCAAAAGCGAATCACTAATCATCAGACAATCAGAAATCATCAGACTATGGCCATCCAATTAAAATTTTGTTTAATGGGTGCAGCAGGAGCAATAGTCCATAGGAAACCACGATCATCTCAGTGGGACTACATTCGCCTAGATGAGAAAATTGAGGTCGCATATGGCCCTTCTTCGGAGCATGCTGCTGCAGTTGCTAGTGAGTTGAGACAGCATGTCCGCAAACCAGGGGAATCACTACATGTACTAAGGGATGACACATATGAGAGGGTATCGGGGGCCTATAGTGATAGGAAAGAAAGAGAGCAGGATGCTATAGAAGTAGAAGTGTTCACTCATTCTTTAAGGGATACTGAGATTGTACAGAAGCTATTGGAGAAACGACCACACACCCTCGCCCAGGCTTATGATATCGCTCGTTGCTATGAAACCACTAAACCATGTCACTAGTCTCACAGAAACAGGAGTACATGGACTGTTATATCATAAGCCCCGCACAGTTGTGGTAAGGGAAGGGGATGAAGCGGTCATGGTAAAAGCTACCTCCACAACCAGTTTTAAAGCAGTTTCATCTGAGCGTCAGCACATGCCAGCCTCACAAAGAGGCTCTGAAGACATTAAATGGAAGGAAATTCGCTGTCATAACTGCACAGGTGTTGGGCATATAAAAAGGAATTGCCCCTCACCCAGGAAAACAACCAGGGGCCCATCTCCCATCTCTATGTCTCAAATGTGATTCATTTGAAACATTATAGTCAAGAAATGAGTATCCACATGACTATCCAGGGGTTAAATGTCTGTGCTGTATTGGACAATGGGGCACGGAAGAGTGTGTTGCCCTTGCAGCTGTACAATGCCATGTGTCCGGATTTCCAGACCCCACTCCAGCCGTCAGTGGTGAAGACAATTGTGGGGGTGGGTCCTGGCGATGTTTTAGTGATAGGTGAGAGTCACATTCCAGTCCAGATAAATAACCTACAAGTGACTGTGCACTTCTTGGTGGCAGACATCGCAAGTGGGGAGGCACTTCTGGGTCATCCATTCCTCACCCAGGCTCAAGCACATCTTGATTTCAGGAATAATTGCATCATACTTTTCGGTGAGGAAGTGCCATACTGTCAGGCTATGGATATACCGAAGACACAAGCAGTGAGGGTGGCCAGAACAGTGGTGGTTGAGGCAGGTTTGGAGTATGTAGTCAGGGGCAATATTAATTCCAAGAACCACCCTAAAGGGGAAGTGATGTTAAGCCCCATCAGAGGCTTTGTCGAAAAATATAAAGTACTGGTTGCTCGCGTGCTGGTGGATGCTCAGCCCTCCATGAGCATACCGCTCCGCATATTCAATCCGGGGAGCACAGCTGTAACCATCAAAAGAGGATCTATAGCAGGTTTTCTTAAACCTGCTAAAGCTTTAGAGTCTGTCAGGAGGCCAGCCAGTGCTCAGTCATCCGGGGAAAATACTGTTCGCAGCATTTACAGGAGTTGTATAATCAAAGTGTGGCTGATCTTAGCCGAGATGAACAGTCTTAGCTAGGTCAATTACTCCGCAATTATGGAAGTGGGTTTTCAACTGGACCTACCGATTTGGGCCGCACTAATCTGGTGCAGCATGCTATCATGACACGGCCGGGAATGGTCATTAAGCTACTCCCACGTCGAATGGCCCTAGAAAAGCAACAAGATGCTGACCAACAAGTAAAGCAAGGTCTAGAGGCTGGATTGACCCATCCCAGTAATAGTAGCTGGGCTTCCCCTATAGTAACAGTGCATAAAAAAGATTGCACTCACCGTCTTTGTGTGGATTATCGTGCTTTAAATGATTGCACCATCAAGGATGCTTATCAATTGCCACGTATACAGGATACATTGGACACCCTCCACGGCTCCATGGTTCAGCACATTGGACCTAGCCTCTGGGTATTGGCAGGTGGAATTGACGCCCACCGAACCACTGCCTTTTGCACCAGAAAGGGGCTATTTGAATGGAATGTAATGCCGTTTGGATTATGTAATGCCCCTGCAACTTTTCAAAGGCTTATGGACAGGGCATAAGCCAGTTCGCAGATCGAGACAAGCCTGGTGTATCTGGATGATATAATTGTGCTGGGTTGTGATGTTCCAGAGATGCTACAGCGTCTAAGTCAAGTTTTTGATAGGCTGCATACTGCTAACTTGAAGCTGAAGCCATCAAAGTGTTGCCTGTTCCGCCGACAAGTAGCATATCTGGGCCACATTGTCTCCAAATAAGGGGTGACCACTGACCCCTCTAAAATACGAAAAGTGTAGGATTGGCCCATACGTAAATCCATCAGAGAAGTTCATCAATTTGTTGGGTTGGCATCATATTATCGACGATTCGTGAAAGACTTTGCCACCATAGCTGAGCCTCTCCATGCCTTGACTAGGAAATATGCTCGGTTTCAGTGGACCTGGTGGCCTGGTGTGCACAAGCCTTTAGTTTGTTACAACAAATCAGAAATTCATTTTTTATGTGGTTTATGTAATATTAATTAAAAAACAGGTTTTAATTTAAAAATGTGTTCTCTTTCTGACAAATCAAGGAAGCAGGAAAAATCAGAACCAACATACAAGAACTTGTACGTGACCAACAAAAATGCTACACCTAAGTTTGTAGTTAAATTGCTTTTTTTTTTTTTTTACTAGATTGTAGTTAAAAAATAAATTGCTTTAAACTAATTTTAATGGTCTACAATTATTTTGTATGCATTTTATGCTGTCTTTACAGTAATTACACACGTCTGTATGCACCAATAGTGATTGAAAGTGATTCAGAAGGGTCAGACCAGAGTACACAACATGTTGAAGAGGAATGGATGTAATTTATTAATTATGTTGTTTCTAAATTATTCACTCCATTTTTATAGCATCATGATTGATTGGCTTAATCAAAATCTTTGTGTTTTACAGCTCAGATGCAATCTCTGCTGCAGACATTGTGTCAGATCTCTCACAGAAAATCATGAGGACGTCTTGCAGTAGATTCAACAAAAATCGAGCAAATATTTGGGATGGAGCAGTTCGTGGTTTTAAACGTGCATCATATGATCCATTGCATGACATGCTTGTCAAATTCACAGACGATGAAGGCTCAACTGAAGATGCAGTTGACACAGGTGGTCCAAAATGTGAGTTTCTAACCCTAATGGACTGTTTAAAAGCACGGCGAATTTTTGATGGACCAGAAAACGGGAGATTTCTCACCTTTAATAATGCAGGTAAATTATTTACTTCAAGCTTGTAACTGCTTAATAATTTACGTTACTGTCTTTTTCACTAAGTCTAGAAAAAATATATTTTCTTGTAGCTGTCAGAGAAGATGAGTACTTCCTTGCTGGCCGGATGATTGCAGTCTCTATTGTACATGGTGGTCCAGGTCCTCGCTTTTTATCGAACATGCTGTATGATTACCTCATTGGTAGGACTGACATTAATGGAACAGTTGAGGATGTAACAGATGAAACCATGAAGGCAGCTTTAATTGAGGTGCATCAAGTTTCTTTTAAGTCATTTATTTGTTTGTTCATTTAAAGGCACAATATATATTTTTGCTATATATATATATATATATATATATATATATATATGTGTGTGTTATTTGTAATTTAATTGCAACCATTTACCCCAGATATCAAGTGCAGAATCACTAGATGAATTGCACGCACTGATTGAGAAGTATGAAAGCTTGCTGCAGACTGCTGGGTGTTTTGATTTCCCACAAAGTGTAAAAGGCAAAGACAACATTGTGAAGGATTTCATACTGTGGTACATTATATACAGAAACCAATACTCTGTACAAAGGTAAGTCTTGTTCCTAATTTGAGATAATATAATAATTTGTTATTTGTTACTTTGTGATTTCTATTTGGGTTATAGATTTAGGGATGGGCTTTCCACCCTGGATGTCATCAATGCCCTGGAACAACACCCTATTGCATTCAGACCCTATATGTGCTACAGTGTTGACAGACTAACATCTGTATCTCTGGAGGATGTCTTCAAGCCACAGCTCAGTGAACCTGGAAGCACCAGACGACAAAAAGAAACAAGAATACTGGGATACTGGAGAGACTATCTGCTTGACACTGGAGGTAAAGAATTGAACATTATATTTTATTGTTGTTGATAACAAATTTTGTGATATTCTTTTGTTTTTTGTTTCATCTTTTCAGAACAAGAAACAGGAGTCTCCCTCCAGAACATTTTGATGTTTGCCACGGGATTAGATTCACTGCCTCCTTCAACAATTGTGCCACAGCCCAGACTCATTTTTGAAAGGTCTTCTAAATTTTCCATTGCAAGCACCTGTGCCAACACAATCAAATTGCCAGTGTCAAAAAGCTATGATGAGTTCAAAAATGCAATGGATTTTGGAATTCAAAACTCACCTGGTTTTGGATTGCGCTGATTAGTATTAAAGTACGGAAAGCCAGTTTTTGCCACTGAACGAATTTTTTTTTTTAAAGGTTATTGCAAATTTTCATATCAGAATTGCATGATACAAACACAATTTTATTTCTGACTTTATAACTTCTGAGGAAAAATTCAGAATTCTAAGATTTTTTTTATAACCTTTTTTATTTTTTATTTAATGATGAAAACTAGGGTTTTTGAGTGTTTTTGTTTACCCTTAGTTATTGTTTAAAAAAAAGGAAAGAAAATGTGTAAATTATTGATATTGTGGTATTGTTTGTAGATTCCACAAAAATATATTAAAAAAAATGATGAAAACTGGCATCCATACTAAAAGGATAGTTCACCCACAAATAAAAGTTAATAATAATTTATTCACCCTCGTATTGTTTCAAACATGTATGAGTTTTGAGTAATGTTAGTTACCAGACACTTGACAGTACATACTGACCTCCACTGTACTTTTATTTTCTACCACGGTAGTCAGAAAGTGCTATCAAGTGGCTGGTTACCAACATTATGCAAAATGTCATCTTTTTTGTTTAACAAAAATAACAAACTTGTATGGGTTTATATAAATTGATAACTTTCATTTTTGGGTGAGTTATGCCTTTGAATTTCTTTTTTCTGTTTAAATGTGGGCCATGTTCTTTAAAGTTATGTAGTTCTCCACACCAGCCTCCCAAGTGTGAGGTGTAGTTAGATTGGTTTGAGCATGTAGTTCTTCAAAGTGTGCCTGCAACTGTCCATCTCCACATGTGGAGATGTGCTTCCTGTGAGATGCTAAATCCAGATTCTCTTCCATTGAACCTTTGAATAAGGTAGTAAAAAAAGTCTACCATTTTGTTTAATAAAAAAAAAAAACTACAGTATTAAATACATAACAAAGTTTATTGGCATTTTATTCTTTAAATCAAAAAATTTAGTTGTTCATCCCCAAAATATAACTAATAAACCTAAAGCAATCTAAAGCTTAAGGTTTGCTTCTGTGGAGTAGTATTTTATCTAAATTTTCTATTCCACAAAAGAGAGTTGCAAAAGTTTGGCTTTTTGTGTTAATTAAAATCTTAATTTCATTACAAAAGTTAAAAAACTTTTTAAACTCACATACCAACCTTTGTGGAAGAGAGTACATGGCATCAGGTTTACCAGAAGGACAGCGAGATTGTTTAACTGCCCTAATGGTATGAGTGTTCCATGATTCTTTGTATTCATCAAGGTCCTTCTGCAGTACAGTTAAAAACGCAAAACGCATTAAGCATATCTGCTCATGACTGCCATTAAAGAGCTGTCTGTCTTTCAAGTCATTGAGAAGATCCATCCAAAATTGAGACCTGTATGAACAGACCAACATCAACATCCCTTTTACACATTAGGCTTTTTATTATAACATATTTAACATATCCAACTAAAACTCAGCAAGAAATGTTCAATACAATCTAAAAATGACCACCAGCTTTCAATTCTTTGGTTTGTGATTGAGGAGCCATACATATGGCTTGAAGCCCCTGCAAGGTCATCCATGTGTGTGGATCTCAAAGAACAGTGGATTGCGGCCATTGTTCCATTTTCAGTGCCACAGTCAGTGCGAAGTAGTTTCGGTATGACTCCAAATTCAGTGGCACATTGTAGGTAATTATGAGCTATAATGTCTGGGTCATTATTGCTAGCTCCACAAATTAACCACATAACTTTGCTTGAGTAACCATCAATGCATCCACTTATAGCCAAACCATATGGTTTTAATTTGTCATAGCCATCAACATGCCAGACATGATTAGGCCCCAAAGAATGGTAAACCCTTCTCACAAATCTTCTTCTTGAGCGTTGTTCAATGCCTAATGGATCAAGGTCTGCCATCATAAACATTACATCTTGCCTTCTAACTGTAAGATTGTGTTTTTGCCGTAAAGTCTGACACATTGTTCGGTAGCCACAATGTTGTCCAGAACCACTCAACTCTTCAATAACAGCAGACTGAACAATTTCCAAAGGTGAGTAGTTTTTTCGCCTGTACAAGGACAGGTTTTTCAGTTTTGTTTTTAAGGTACGAAGGCTTATTTTAATGTTGTGTTTCAATGCCAAAAAATCTAGAATGACACTGTAACTGTGTCCATCTCTGAAGTATTTTCGAAGAAGATCATCCTCACAAAATTGGACAGATGAGTCTAACATCTATAAAAAAAAAAAGAATTAAAATTATGTTAAATGACTCCTGCTGAAAAAAAATACTGCATATGTTGACAAGGTATGTTTTGATGCTGGTCATTTAATCATTGTTTTGGTAATAATCATTGTTTTGGTCTGTATAATTAATATCTATTTAATCAGAAGTAATCAGTGTTCCACTGCCACCTAGTGGTTGGGAGCATTTCCATTGTGTTACGTTTTTAGTGTTGCAGCATTTTTCATCTTAGTGTTGCAGCGTTTTCATCTTAGTGTTGCAGCTTTTTCATCTTAGTGTTGCAGCTTTTTCATCTTAGTGTTGCAGCATTTTTCATCTTAGTGTTGCAGCATTTTCATCTTAGTGTTGCAGCATTTTTCATCTTAGTGTTGCTGCATTTTTCATCTTAGTGTTGCAGCATTTTTCATCTTAGTGTTGCAGCTTTTTCATCTTAGTGTTGCAGCATTTTTCATCTTAGTGTTGCAGCTTTTTCATCTTAGTGTTGCAGCATTTTTCATCTTAGTGTTGCAGCATTTTCATCTTAGTGTTGCAGCATTTTTCATCTTAGTGTTGCAGCGTTTTCATCTTAGTGTTGCAGCATTTTTCATCTTAGTGTTGCAGCATTTTTCATCTTAGTGTTGCAGCTTTTTCATCTTAGTGTTGCAGCTTTTTCATCTTAGTGTTGCAGCATTTTTCATCTTAGTGTTGCAGCATTTTTCATCTTAGTGTTGCAGCTTTTTCATCTTAGTGTTGCAGCTTTTTCATCTTAGTGTTGCAGCATTTTTCATCTTAGTGTTGCAGCATTTTTCATCTTAGTGTTGCAGCATTTTCATCTTAGTGTTGCAGCATTTTTCATCTTAGTGTTGCTGCATTTTTCATCTTAGTGTTGCAGCATTTTTCATCTTAGTGTTGCAGCTTTTTCATCTTAGTGTTGCAGCATTTTTCATCTTAGTGTTGCAGCTTTTTCATCTTAGTGTTGCAGCATTTTTCATCTTAGTGTTGCAGCATTTTTCATCTTAGTGTTGCAGCATTTTTCATCTTAGTGTTGCAGCTTTTTCATCTTAGTGTTGCAGCATTTTTCATCTTAGTGTTGCAGCATTTTCATCTTAGTGTTGCAGCATTTTTCATCTTAGTGTTGCAGCGTTTTCATCTTAGTGTTGCAGCATTTTTCATCTTAGTGTTGCAGCATTTTTCATCTTAGTGTTGCAGCGTTTTCATCTTAGTGTTGCAGCTTTTTCATCTTAGTGTTGCAGCATTTTTCATCTTAGTGTTGTAGCATTTTTCATCTTAGTGTTGCAGCTTTTTCATCTTAGTGTTGCAGCATTTTTCATCTTAGTGTTGCAGCATTTTTCATCTTAGTGTTGCAGCTTTTTCATCTTAGTGTTGCAGCATTTTTCATCTAAGTGTTGCAGCTTTTTCAACTTAGTGTTGCAGCATTTTCATCTTAATGTTGTTGTGTTTTGCACTACTGGGCCACCGTAGTGACGTCACGCGAAGCGGCTTCCGGGTCCAAGCGCTCTATTCAACTGAATGGGGAGACTCATGAAATGGTAATAATAAACGTTTACAAAGCAATTTAAGGCTTTCGAAAATCTCAATCGCAGTATATATGTCCATGCCTAATATCCGATGTCAGAAAGTGATTCATTTTTTTTAATTGTTACATTTTTGGTATTTGTTATGCAGCAAGCCCAGAGATTGTTGTGTAAACTATGATTTTATATAAAATTAACTTTAATGTGTGATAGGAATAAAACGTGATCATAAACAAATGATTTTTCCACTCAAATGAATGGCGACTTGAACCCGGAAACAGTATTACATACGTCATCACTTAACAAGCGGATATGGTTTTGCATCTAAACTCTTCAAATGTAACAATTGTTTTTAGTTGTCCTGAAGTGAATGTTTTCTTTAGCTTAATTATCTGGGCTGTTCTTTTTTTTTTTTTTTTTTTTGACAGCAATACATTAAAAGCAATTGAACGAACTAATGACTCTGGTATTTATTTTTATGTTTTTGTATGTGTGGTACTGTTGTGTCTGTCTTCAAATACTTGCACCAGTGTTGCTACTACCTGTCTGTTGACTATCTGCTGAACATTTACAGAATAGTAACCATGCTGTCTATGATGTTGGCTCCTTACAGTCATTTAACAGCATTTCTTAGGTTTTCACTTCATTTTGATGGGCCTAGTGTGACAACAGATGAGCAGATAAATGTAACTTAAAGTAAACTAACTGTCTACTGAAAGTTAGGTTAAATGCAACGAATATGTAACATGAAATTAGCTCATTTTATGAATATTAATAATCAACAATAACGGTTTATTCTTAATTATTAATATTCCGGCTTAAGCTT